CCTGATCTCGGCTAGGATGGCTTCCTGGCCACGTGTCAGACTTGTCTTGGTCATCTCAGTTAAAATGTTTTCTGCATTTCCAAGAAAGACATAAAAAGAAAATTGTTTTGCCCTTGGCCCACGCTAAAAATGTTTATAAATTACATACTGAGAATTACCACAATTTTGGAGCAGGACCTTAAGTGAGAGAGAAATTCAACTTCAAGCCCAAAATACTTTTTTTTTCATGTCATCTTAATAAAAATTTGGCTAAGATGCCGTGGTCGACTCCATTTGAATGTTATCGTGAGAGGCTTTTTAGAGTATGATGATTAAATTACCTGAGGTTCTGCAGGGCTGAGCAGGACTTCCCCATGAGCTGTACCTTCTGGTGACCCTGCTGGTGGCAATGGTGAGACACCTGAGGGACAGAAACACGGTGAAAGGGACAAGTCAGAGTGGACAGAACATCTGTCCAGTATCTCGGTGTTTCTGCCTCAGGCGCTCAGAGGAGGAGGATCTGAGTGAAAATTGTGGAATTTGCTTCCTACGAGATTTTTAAGCAGTAATTTGTGTGTAGAGTTCCCACGTAGTGCAAAAAATTGGAATGAAAAAATCTATACTAACTGCACATTGCTATGATACTAAAAATGGAGTTTTGAAGAAGAAAAAGAGCGGGGGGGGGCGGGGGAGAGATATGGGAGTATGGATGGATGGAAGAGAAGGAGTAGAGGGGCTCAAGCCAAAGTCGCCGCTGTGGTCTCAGGGAAACAAACAGAAAAACCCAAGAAACCTGAGAGTTTATGGATGGTGGTTTATAGGAGCAGAAGTAATCTAAAGAAGTGTAAGAGTTACCTAAAAGCACAAAGGGAAAACAGACCTCCAGACAGGGTCTGGTTTTCGCTAGGTGTAGTCTGGCAGAGAAACAGGAATTAAAGCATAAAATAAAGGCTTACGGGTGAAAAGAAGGACCCAGGTAGGTGTGAGGTTACAGAAGGATGGGGAAAGAGAGAAGGGCCCAACAGTGAACGTGGGATGAATTAGAGCAGATGGGGATGTGAGTAGATCAAAGGGGAGTTTAGATAAGATAGATTTTATTTCTTTTTTTTTCTCTGGAGAAGGAAGACAATAGCATATGGTGCAAACTAACAGCATCAGCGGAGTGAGTTTCTAGGGTTGAAGAGCAAGAACACAATGTGTGGTTGTGTTGTTGGTGTGTCTGACCAGCCTGGCAGCCCTGGCCATGGTATGGTGACAGAGATCGGCCGGGAAGTTCTGGGGCTTCTGAGGAAACTAGAGCTCCACCATACGAGGAGGAAGTTTTTGTATAGGTAAGTGACTGGTTGAAGGACAGGTTTTAAATACAGTGTTATCACAGTGAGGGTAGACTATCGGTGGAGTTAGACTGATGTTCTACGTATTTTCTGTTGCAGGTTGTTTATGAGTAAGGTGGGAAAGTTTGCAGCTTATAAAAAGTTATTTGGGGTGGGAAGGACAAAGACTGTCTGAAGAATTATAGACTAGCTGTAAAGAGCCAAGGGACTTGGCAATAAAATGGCGGATGAAGTTCAGTGTAGATAAATGCAAAGTGATACACAAGGAAAAAAAAACAAATTCTAACTTCTCATGTAAAATGATGAACCTTACCTTGACCTGTTACAACTAGAGAGTAGGTTTGTGGCCTATGATATATAATTCCATGAAAACATCACCTCAGTGCTCAGTAGGAGTCACAAAAGCAAATAAAACATTAGGAATATAGGAGAGAAACGGAGAACGTAACATGGAAAACCATATAAACCACTGTATAAAACCAGAGTTTACTCTAATTTGAAATACCTTATGCTGTTGTGGTGTCCTAATCTTAAAAAGAAATGGTAGAAAAGGGGCAAAAGTAGGAGAAATGTGATGATAGATATGAAATAGTTTTCATACAAGAAGTGACTCATTAAGCCAAAACTGTTTAGTATGGAAATGAGTGTAAGGAGAGAAATGATGGAGATCTACAGAAGCAGGTGTAGAACAGAGTAAGTGAAAAGGGAACTTCTTTTGACTCCTTTCCGTTACGAGTATTAGAGGTTATCATGTCAAATTGGCGCGTCTATATGAAACTTGCCACAGCACATTGTAGCTACTAAATACTTTTATGGATTCAGAGAGTGGTTGTATTTCATTAATATTTCTTCTATGTATTTGCCCCAAAATACTACTTCTGGTTTAAGAGAGATTGCTGGACGCTGGTAGACTTTGGAGTCAAGATCCCGTCATGTACACCTTGGCCTTGTTTTCCCTGGGTAACCCAGGTTGGCCACATCGGGAGGCAGAAGCGGAGATCCGCCAAAGCTGTGGTCTGACACTGCACAATTTGTCTGTGATATTTGTATTTAAGGTACTTAGTAAAAGGTTTTACATATATAGTTCGGATTACAGAACGTAGTGTAGGCCTCCACTACAGTCCTTCAGTTGTAGCGCATCTGCTTCAAAAGTATCTGAGGTACCATACGCTGATGCAGTGTGCTCGAAGGTAGAGTATGTATGGCCAGACACAAAGACCCAGTGAATTTGAAATGCAATGAGCCATGCTCATTTCATTCAAATTAATTTGCTTGTTTTGTTTTAGTGCTAATTTTCCTTTAAGTGGAGCTTTTTTCTTTCAAATCTGCTTAAGCCGTGCCCTTCTGGAAAAAAAAACCAAAACCCACACGTTTGACAATAATGTTCATGCTGCAAGTTGTCCTTGGTATGCTGCTATTAATTTTTTTGTTAAGTGGTGGGTTTTAATGTTCTGTAAATCAATAAATTGATGTGCAATGTCGTTATTAATTTGTCATAATTAATTTTAAGATATGCTGGATCAAATGACACTATCAGACTTTCCTTTATAATTCAATTTTATGTAATGCTCTGAGGCTTGAGAAGTATCCTTACTGATTCAAATTCTTTGTCCCATGGCAATTTTATTTTTCCTTCCTTTGAGTCACTGTAGCAAAATTCTCTCTTGGTTAAACCTTGTTTCCAGAATTGGAGGGTCTCTCTCTCATGTTTGGCTCTCAAGGGAATACAGGTTTAGTATTTTGAGTCTGAAAAGATGCTATCTGATCTGAGGAACAAAGCCTAGCATTATTATAAAGAGAAAATGGGACTTTTCCAAGGAGTACAGTGTGCTCTAATGCATTAAAATACTTGCTGAGTGAAAAGCATCGTTTGTAAAATCAAGTATTTCTAAGAAAATGAGTATTTGTCAGATTGCTTAATCATAAATCTTGAAAACCAGCAGAAAAATCACACTCATAGTATTACTGAGCTAACAAAAAAAAAAGTGTGTGTGTGTAAAATCCATCAAGTGTGACATATTATTTATGACGTAGTGGTGCGCTACTATTTCGTTGTAAATGAGAAAACTAACAGTAAGGTAGGACCATATCATGTCAAAAGATACAAAAATCTGTCAGTGTGGATGTCAGAGGCTGTCCTGCCCTATCCACTGCAGGATTCTCCTTCCAGAACTGACGTGATGTTCCCCTGAAGAGCAGGTTACTCTAACGATCAAGTGTTTGACTTCAGACCTTGATAGTGTCATTTTTACTGATCTTTCTATACAACCTAGAAATAAATATTGATAATTCGGCCGTGAAAAACTGTGTTATAGGTAGTGCTGTAGTATGAACTGACAGATGTGATAACCCTTACAAAACTAATTAAAGATAATTGTTATCTCTGAGCTACAATATTAACAACAAATTCAGTAGATGGATGACATTGCTTGTCTGTCTTTTAGTTAACGTTCTGGCTTTAAAATGTCAAGTGTTTTCTTATTTGGAATGGTTTTTTTCCCCGAGTTGATGTTAGAACGAATGACTAATGGGTATTCGCTGTTGTGTTGTGGGTTAGATCTCCTTACTGAAGCAGAATCTGGAGATGCAGCTCTCCCAGTCACAGAGCTCTTTGCAGCAGCTACAAGCCCAGTTCAGCCAGGAGCGGCAGAGGCTGACTCAGGAGATCCAGGAATTGGAAGAGGAGCATCAGCAAAGGCATAAGTCACTTCAGGAAGCCCATATCCTTGCCTTTCAAAACATGGAAGAAACAAAAGAGCAAGAACAAAAGGCATGTTCATATGGATATTCTGGATTATGTAGAGAGTGTTGCCGTTTTAGCAATTCGTGTACACAGTGAAAAGTATCTGCATAGCTACTAAATTTCCTTTTCAGCTGATGTCTTACAGTTACATTTTTATCCAGTTAAATCTGATTAAAATATATTGAAAATCATCTCTAATTCTGGCATTGCCTCACGTGTTGCTTTATACTCTACCACTATATGCATATATATAGATATAGATGGATATATAGAGATAGAGAGGTAAAATTATTATCAACACACACGTTTCTTTACAGTAGTTTGATATTGTTATCCATAATGTTATATTCTAGTTTTGATTTGGAATAGGTTTCTCTGTATTTTCCATTATAGTTACCTAATTTCGCATGTGTCTTCTGCTATTTCCTGTCAATTGACTCCTTTTATAACGTATTTTATATTTTTCATTATGTTAAAAATGGTATAAACTATGTTCTGCAACTTGCAAGATAATTTTCATGTCCAGAACAATGCCACACCCAAGATATTTTTTTTAAAACCTTGACTAAACCAGCTTTAAAAATGGAAATTTTGGCAGTGCGTGGTACTTAATAGGGTGTGTGTCTGAAGGGTTGGGGTTTTTTAAGTTCCGTTCTAGAGTGTACCTTTGCAATCAATTTTCCCGTTATCCCCACTTAATGTACTTTGGTTCACACCATAGGCTGGTCTCGGAGCACACAAGGTGGATTCCTTTTGTTCGAAATGAAATGAAATGTGCACCGGGAACGTTACACTTCATACACTTCAACAGAGAGTAAACATGGGTGTCCCTGGGGAGCGAAAATCCCCAAACGTGCATTGCGTGCGCACTAGACCCACCTATGGATCTGCACCTTATTGCGTTGCTTGCTATTACAAATATATCCATAAATTGGGTTTTTTTCTCTTTTCGAACTGTGAGCAGAACAGGGGTTTTGTGCACAGGTAATCTTGATAACCATCAGCCACTAAAAAGCAAAAAACAAAGTAGTAGGATAACTTACTGAGAGAAGAAAATAAGAGCAACATTAGTGCATTTTTAATAATTTCTGGAGTATGCCAATGCCTGCTTTTTATTGCCAGTTGTTTAATATTTTATAAATTCCCTAAGCTGGTATAGAACAAATTTTGTCAGTTTTGATTTCACAGGAATTAGAAGAACGTTTACAACAGAAACACTCGGAAGAACTTCAGGCACTGAAAGAAACGCATAAACAAGCCATGGAAGGTTTTAAACTGGAGATGGAACAGGAACTTCAGACTCTACGATTTGAGCTGGAGGATGAAGGAAAAGCTATGTTAGGTACGCTATTTTCAAATTTGCAAATGGGTCCAAAACCACTATTTCTACTTGTACAAATGTACGTGCAGGTGTATGTATGTACGTGTGTGTGTATTACAACACTGTAGTGTATCTCAGAGTCATTCAATGTTGACCTAATTGTTCCTCTTAAAAGTAGTAGAAGCTTTAACAGGTGAGCCCAAACTTGTTCGCTTTTGAAAAATCTTACCCTTAAGGTTTTTTTGGAAGGAGTAAGCAACCAAAGTTCATGATGGGGGATGTTTGAGAAAGTAAGAGGAATAGAACGACAGGATAGTTGCTTAGCTGATGTAAACAGTGTGCATTAGGTCAGCAGCGGTACTTGATGGAGCTGGACTGTTATTGTTAGTTAACGCAAACATTTGCAAAATAAACTTTTCTTTTTGTTCCTGGTAACTAGCTTCCTTGCGCTCAGAACTAAATCATCAACACGCAGCAGCGATTGACCAGCTAAGGCACAACCATCAACAAGAACTGGTAGCTGCCAAAATGGAGCTTGAAAGAAGCATAGAACTCGGCAGGCGACAGGTAGGCGTTGCTGGCCACTGTAAAATTGCACGATCGGTGTTCGTTTTCTTTTAGCTGGAGCCAAGAACTGTCGTGAACAAACTACAAACATGTAATCTTTCAAAGTCAGCCAGCACCAGCAGAGAATGCATCCCTACCGGTTTAGCTAAACTTCCTTGCTTGGCTTTTTCTTCCTTCAACAAACTTCATTCGAAGCCTGGTAAAGGCTCCCGGCTCCAGGCCGTTTCCTCCTGGAGTTGTCTGGGAGCGCTCTGGCTTGCCGTGGGGGGAAAAAGCATTGGGATGGGTGCCAGATGAGTTTCCCAGATGTTAACTTCATTGGAATTTCTTATGCAAAAAGAATGACTCTTACTGATTTATTGGACACAGTATAAATATTATATAAACTATTTCGCACATATTCTGCAGTGAGATATTTATGGCCCTTATATATACGTAAGATAGGAGACTTCTGAATCATAGCGTTCATTGCTGCAGGGCGTACACCTTGAGCTATTTTGTCCCGGTGTGTGGGGCTGCAACAGTTTCTCTGTATCATATGTCGAAGGGGTAGAAACTGTTAAATGCCCAGCCCCCTGGTGCTTAGCAGTGTCTGGGGTTTTGTTGTATGTGTGGGCAAAAGGAAACTGTGATGAGCTACGCAAACTTTAACAGGCAATGACAATGACAGGTTTTAAATTTTCTCGCAAATGGAAATTGTTACATGACTTTGATTTCTTCTTTATTTGTATTTGTACATAATAAAAAACCTCCTCAGTTTTAATTATAATTTGTGTTGGCTTCAAAAACTGAAAAAATTGTCTATTGAATGAAAAATTCTGCTCAGCTGTTATCTTCCAAAAGCAAGTATTGTGCTTCTGAGACACAAGTCCATTTAAAATATTTTTTGCCGCTGCTACTTGTACCATAGGAGAAAGAATTTTTATGCCGAATATCAGATCTACAAGATGAACTGAGACACCGAGACCATCATATAGCTGAACTGGACAAAGAGATTCTACATCTTCATGAAAATATAAGTGCATTGACCAAGGAATTAGAATTTAAAGGGAAAGAAATTCTTAGAATACGCAGTGAATCCAACCAGCAGATCAGGTATGAATTTTTCCACTCTAAACTCAAATGTGTATTGTTTCATGTATTGTTTTATTTAAGAAATTTTACCATTTGCAGCTTATAATTTATCCTCTTAATCAGGTGATGCTATATATCGTTTAGCCTTCTTTAGAAAAAGCTATGCCCATTACTAGTAAAGTTAGTGAATATTACCATACAGTTAAGCTGCATTTCAGTGAAACATTTTGGCATATTTTAGTAACAGTCTGCTCAAGTGTTGGTTTTTGGTTTGTTTATTTTTAAATTCATTATGTTTGTTATTTAAAAAAGCATTAAAGGAGATGCATTTTCCATGAAATAAGCTAGAAGATTGGAGGACACTAAGTAGGGGGTTTTGATGAATCAGTAATTCCTTCCGTGTTGTCTGATATTGTGTAAAAGCCATTAGAAGCATGGCAGAAAATCATGATGAACAAACGAGTCTGATTTTAGAATAACTCTTTTTTTAACAAAACATAAATTGAACAGGATGCATGGGCAAGATTTAAGCAAGAAACATGAGAAAGAGCTGGATGTCTTGACAGCAGATCACATCAGAGAGAAACAAAGCATGCTGGCAGATTTTAATAAGACCCAAGAACTGCTCAAGGAAATTAATTCAGCTTTACAAATTTCGTAAGTTTTGTTGTGTTAAAAAAAATTTGTATGTAGCTGCATTTGAGTGAATAGTTTATTCTGGTGTCCGTAAGTTGCTGATGATGTTGCAGAGATGCTGATGTGCAAAAACCTCAGTCAAGTACGGGGCCTAATCTTGCATTTTTAGGCAACACATTTCTATAAGCTTTAGGGGAGTTTAGTGAGATAAATTGTTAGGGATTTGAGATCAAAAAATTTCAAGTAGGAAAGATGTTACATCTGTGCGGTTCTTAGAAAATTGGAGAAGACATTATTTCAAATGTTTTTTCTCAAACTTTAATACATCTCTTTTAAGAACACAAGAGTTTCTTCAGCAAGTTTATGAACAGTACAATATTTGCTATTAACAAGCCTTATTATAGAACGAGTGATGCAAACATTTTCAGGTTTGCTAACGTAAGGAAAATTAGTGTCTGAAATGGATGATACAAGCGTAACAATAACAGAATACTTGGAGTGTCTCTGAGTCAAAATGCCGCCTGGGGTTAGAGCACCTCTGAGCCAAAGTGGTGGTGCAGCCTAGCCGGTGTTTTCCTGTTTTCCATCGTTCGTTCTTTATCGGTCAGAGTTTCTGGCCGAGGTTTCACAGCACATTGAGGGCTTCCTGACACAAAGTTGTCACTGAGGAATTTGTATTTGCAGCACAAAAGATTTATGGCCGAGAAAATAGTTGGTTCTAAGTATATGACAGAAAACTTTTTAATGTAAATATCAATTAAAAAGGGACATCTAATTCTTTGTTGATAATAAGCACTCAGAAATTGTCTTCAGATAAGATGGGTATAAAATTCTAGTTCTTACTCCCTTGTAATCATCCACATGCACGCTCTTGTGCCCTGATAAATGTGGTAACTTGCCATTCAGTAAATTGGGTGTAAACTACCTCGTTTACTGCATTTATCTTGTTATGAGAAACACAGCTATGAGCAGCCAGCAGAACTAGGTTTTGGAACTGTTTACCCAAACTTTTTCTCCCATGAAGTTGTTTGGTTTTCAGTGTCCTGAAAATTTCTGAATTTAGCTGGTTCGCTACTCCAAAGCATGGCCTTGTGAATGTTTATGAAATGGAGAGTCTGTCTTACAGTAATTGAGAGTGGGTGTCATTAATTAGGCTCTACAACTGGAGTCTTTAAATTATATATTATCTCTTTGAAACAGAAATAAAAACAGTTCTCTGAAAGACCTGAAAGTCGGATGCCAGCTGTGTGTAACGATGTACTATACTCTGGGGATCTGTACACAATAGCTTAACCCAGCATTAAATGTATACACAAAAATTCAGCCAGTTGAGCATATTTCTGTTCTGCTGCGCCAAATGCCTTTTCTGCAAATAAAAACAGTCATGTTGTTCACATTCATAATGTTTTATGTGAATACATTGTATAGTCTCCTCAGATTATGTGCAAGTTATTTGAAGGTTATAAATACAATTTAATATGAACTATTTTTTCAGATACAACTCAAAGTAAAAATCACATAGCTGCTTCTGAAGGGAAAATATTTACCTAAAGTGGGAAATTATGTCTCCTTCCAGGTGTCTTGTGGAAATAAGTTTGAGATGACTTAGACATCTTAAACTCATAGATTTTTCTCAGGGTTTATTTGGGATTATTATTTTTTTTTAATTATTTTTAAAATTATTTTTTTAATTAAGTTTGTTACATTTCCTGAATCTGTTCTGAAACTTGGTTCACTAATCTACATGAGGGCTGAGGATGTGAGACAAGTATTTTAGCAGTTCCCTTTGGAACACTGTTTAGCATCACGAGCATTATATTTATGTTTCAAAGAGAGAGGGTCATTTGAAATTGTCATGTCTTCAAAACTTGCTCTTTAAGAAGAAACAAGGATATTGGGCAGTTACTTACACAATTCCTCTCTCAGTTGGCTTATTTCACTTCTCTCCTTTAATGCTTTCCCACCAGGCATTTCAGATTTCCTCCTATTTTTTTGAAATGTTTATCACTTGTTACATTTCTCTTAATCCAGATATCCTAATATCCAAGTGTTATTGCTTTTCTTTTGCAGCTCATTCCTTTATTTCATCTCTAATGGTACTAAGTTGCTTTTGTGGAGGGGAATTAGTTACCTGTTAGCCTTCACTGTTCTTGGATATCTTTGTTCCAGTATGTCCCACGTGAACTGAGGAAGACGGTGCCAGCCTTGACTGTCTATCCAGTTTCTCCAGTATCACAAGCATGCATCTTCATTCAGAGTAGTCATCTATAAAAAGAAAAATTACAGTTTTCTTCATCAAGAAAGAGAATTGCCAACTTTAAAAATTTACATTAATATTAAATATAATGCAAAGTGAATTGCCAGCTTTTAAAATTTACATTGATATTAAATATAATGCAATGCAGTCCCTATATTTTACATAAGAATCGATCTTAGCTATGACTTCTGTAATTTTCCTGTCCGTGTTATGGTTTTGAATGCCTTATTTTCAGTCTGACTTCCAAGAGGCCTTTTTTCCAACACCTAGTACTGCACGCACAGGGAGGATGTTAAGTTTTTAGAATTTTGCCCAGATTATTAGTTACTGGACCAAAGGTTACAGTTATTGTGGATTTTTTTTTTTTTTTAAGTAGCTAAAGCTGAATGATAACATAGAAATTAATTTACTTCAAGGTGATAGGAAAGTCATCTTCTGTTTTTACTTGCTGAACTCTCTTTTGTACCTTTTGTATTCATCATTTAACACTGGATCAGGCTAAAGGGGGTATTCTTCTTTCTTATAAAGTTTAGAAGAAATGGAAGAAAAATATAAAAACAGAGAATCAAGACCAGAAGACTTGCAGCTTATCTCAGAACTGAAAGACCTAATTGCAGAGCGGGACCAGCTCATAAAGAAATTGATTGTAAGACTTTTATTCTTTCTTAGTTTAATATCTTGACAGATACAAAAGTTAATCTAATTCAAAAGTGTTTGAAATGTATTTAAAGAAACAATCCTGCTAGTATGTTATTCGTATTCTTTAACACATCATTCCTATGGTTCCAGTGACTCATAATAGTAAAACTGATTAGATACAGAGACTTCTGCACAGTCAAGCATAATACATTGTTATGGGAAATATTTCAGTATGACCTTGATCAGACGTCTCCTATCTCCAATCCTGCAATAAGCCAGCCATGTAAGCCATATAAAAACTAGTGTCTTCTATGAGGTTTCTAAGACTAATTTCCTGATCCACTGAGCTTCCCAAATTCAGAGCACAAGACCCTCACTCAGATTAGGATGATCAGATCCTGATTTGGAAGCAAGAAGGAATGAGGAAATTAAAATTAATTAGAGAAACTGAGTCTTTCCCAGTGCATTATCCATTAGGCTATGCTCACTCTCAGGGGCATAGCACTGCATAAATAGAAATGATTTAGATTATTACATATAGTAATATATAAAACATATTGAATATAAAAAGGAATTTTTAAAATTACCATTCTTTTAAAACATAAACACAAATTTTTTTGAGATCATTTTATAGGCAGATTTGGCCACTAACTGCTTGAAAATGCATAAAAAGAAGTTTCTATTTGTTCTTCTTTTTAGGAGGACAAAAAGTTCTATCAGCTGGAGATAGTTAACAGGGAGCCTAACTACAACAAAATGTTTAATGCAAGCCCTAATGTTGGTGTTATTAATCCATTGGTGAAGGTATGTTCCATGGACTTCATTGCTAAAGTGAAGACAAAGAAATCTAAACTTAGGATATAGTAAAAAGCAGAAATACTTGTGTCTCTGTGTGTGTGTCTGCGTGTATACATATATCACTCTTAAAAGACATGTTCAAAACAAGGAACATAATTTTCCATTTGTCTCTATTTTTGTGTAGGTTTGTTTCTTTTGTGTTGCCGAGAGATCCACCAATATTGTTGCTCTAGTTTGCTGGACATGGATGACATAAAGCACAATTCCTTCTCACAAAGCTGCAAAATCAAAGCAGAAAAGTGACAGAAAGGCAACAGAGGGCGGGACTGTAGCGTGTAATAGAGAACAGTGACACCCGTAACCAGTGTTCGTTTCAAAGTTTTTCTGGGTTATTTTGGAAAGTGGAAGGGCAATTTCATTTTTCAGGTGGTGCTCAGGATGGAAGAGAGTGAGAAAGACAGAGGGAGAGAGGACACTAAAGGAAGGGAATACGGGTAAAAAGGGGAAGGGGAAGAGTATGGGAAGGGCATGGAATGGGTCTGAATGGAGAAAGAGAGAGCAGAACTGGAGTGACAAACCAGGTAGGGACCGTGGGGGCAGCAGGAGACAGACGTCGGTCCCGAGCCGTCTCAGGTATTGTCAGCCCCCAGTAGTTCCCCTT